AGCTTTCATTCCGGCGGCTGCGTATCGTAACGGATTTTGCATCGTGAGGAACCTGCTGTACTAAGCTCGTGATCACACAAGCAAAGCAGGCACCCACATGGCAATGTGGCCCACCGAGCACATATCTAGGCGTATGAGCTCTTGTCCCATTGAAAGATAAACAGCTCTATTGGCTGAGCAGCACAAACACGTTTCATATCAAAAATCGACAGCATCGCAGATAATCACGATCTCCCCCGGGCCGTGATACTGTGCCATCAGGAAGTCGGTGTAGCTAGCAGCTAGTCCGTCTCGGCATAAGCCTCGGATGCGAAGTTAAAGAATTGCACGACTAGGTTGTGTACCATTCAGGTCCGGGTTAAGCTTAGGCTGTAGGGCCGGTTTGTGGTTTTAGGTTGATCGTTATAGTATATAGAATATGTATTATAATTTAAAGTAGAGGTTTTGATTGTTTCATAATAATCAAAATGAATCGAGTGTCTCTCTTGCCTGCAGTCTTAGCAGTCCCTGGAGATAGCCCTAGATCTTCTGCTTCTTTTCGTGCTTTGTGATAAGCAATGCTTTTGCGAGACTTCTTGGCCTTGATCTCATCACTGCTATCCTTGGCTTTCTCCTTCTTGTTGCGTGGCGAAACTGTGGGCTTGGCCTTGGCCTTTGCTGACTTCTTTGGCTTCGGGGCTTCTACTGCTGTGCTCTGCTCAGGATCCTTCTTGGCTGCTCGGCCGGGCTTGCTTTTGGGCTTGGGCTTCGGTGCATTTACTGCTTCGTCCTCGTGGCGATCCTTCTCAGCTTTCGGCGTCGGCTTGCTCTTGGGCTTGGGCTTCGGGGCCTCTACTGCTTCGTCCTCGTCAGGCTCCTTCTCAGCTTTCGGCGTCGGCTTGCTTTTGGGCTTTGGGGCCTCTACTGCTTCGTCCTCGTCGCGATCCTTCTCAGCTGTCGGTGTCGGCTTGGTTTTGGGTTTGGCCTTGGGCTTCGTTGGCTCCGAAGCTTCATCATCCTTCTTGCGAGCCTTGGCTTTGCTGGTGGTAGAAGAACCCGTAGTTTTTCCGCTTCCGAGCCGGCTCCTCGGCCGGCTGCTTGCTGGCCTTGTTGTTTCTGCCCCTACCCCGACCCCTACCCCCACGACCTCTACCGGAGCCTCTGCCCCTTCCCCTGCCTCTTCGGGCAGTGTCTTCACAGCTCCCCTCCTCATCATCCTCCTCGCCCGTGCCCTCCCCATCCTTGGCTGTGCGTGCGAGCTTGCTCTGCTCCTGCGGCGAGATGGGCTTCAAGTCCTCTAGCACAGATGGTCGAAGCTTGTCTTTTCGTTGCAGGACGGCGGTCTTCTCAGGAGAGGCACTGTAGTACTTCGTGTCCTCTTCGTGGGAGCTTTCAGGTTCGGTATCTGTGCATGGCTTGGCTTCGTTGATGGCTGGGGCCTCCTCGCATGCTTCGGTGATGCCGGCTTCGCTGGAAACCTGGTCTATCATCGGGGCGTCCTCGGATGCTTCGGGGATGTTCGTTTCGCACAAACCCTGGTCTATCATCGGGGCCTCCTCGGATGCTTCTGGGATGCTCGGTTCGCAGGAAACCTGGTCTGCGATTCGGGCCTCCTCGGATGCTTCGGTGATGCTCGGTTCGCAGGAAACCTGGTCTGCGATCGGGGCCTCCTGCGATGCCTCGGGGATGTTCGGATCGCACAAACCCTGGTCTGCGATCGGGGCCTCATGGGATGCTTCGGGGATGTTCGCTTCGCACAAACCCTGGTCTGCGATTGGGGCCTCCTGCGATGCCTCGGGGATGTTCGGATCGCACAAAACCTGGTCTGCGATCGGGGCCTCCTCCAATGCTTCGGTGATGCTCGGTTCGCACAAACCCTGGTCTGCGATCGGGGCCTCCTCCAATGCTTCGGTGATGCTCGGTTCGCACAACCCCTGGTCTGCTGTAGCGACATCTTTGGAAGCTGCTGCTGCTGCTTCTGCGACACTTGAAGCCTGAGGGTTGGCTAGGAAGATTAACGGATTCGTTCTATCATGTTCGAAATATTATAACAAACCTGGAAAGCTAAAAACCTCGTGCCTCAACCATGGATTCCTCAACAGCCACGGACTCACCGAGGTCGAACGGCAGCGTATCTTGATGATCGGACCCTCGGCCATTCTTTGGGTTGTTTGGGCTAATGATGATTGGGCTCTAGCTAGCATCTGACCATATTAGGAGCTCGACAGGCCAAGTAGCATGACAAAGGGTGTGGAATCGAGGGTGCCGGCAGGGAGTCATGATGCAAGCTAGCAAGAAGCTCAGCAAGATTCTGCTCCTCTTCTTGAAGTCGTAGCAGAAGCTGCAGCTCCTCCAGAATCTCCTGCTGTTTCGAAAGCTCTTGGAGCAAGTCGTCGTCATCGGAAGATCCTGGGATGAGGTGGTGATTAAGGTTCCAACTTGGAGTTTAGGGCTTAGGGATTAGGCCTCGGGGTTTAGGGTTAAAGAGGGTCCGGCTCGGGTTAGGAGGGTCCGGGATTTAGGGCTTAATTGTTAAGAATAGGGTTTAGGGATAAGAGGGTCCGGAGTGGGTTTTAATAATTAGTACAGGGATATCTTAATTATATCATTATATGACATTGTTCATTATAGGGTAATTCGGAGATCACAAACCTATCGACATATATATATATATATATATATATAAGATATATATATAAGTATATATATATATATATATCGATAGGTTTGTGATCTCCGAATTATAGATATGCACATATGACCTGTACCCAATCCATACACCGAGAACTCGCCCTGAAGCCAAGCCTCCCTCAAAGCTATCGAATGGGCCTCAATGGTTCAAGAATCTTTTTAAGGCTCGGGGCTACCATGGAATTTGAAACTTGTAATGAATCCCACCTAAGATCTCTTTGGCAATGCGGAAGCTGGGGAGCTTGGGTTCGTAAGGCTGCAATCGCCACTGCTCGAAGATGCTTCTGCCGACAGTTCCACAAGCTTGTCGGGTGGTGTTGCGGGAACTTCCTTGCCAGTGATTGTGCAATCCCTGACCCAAGGATTCTCCGAAGATCCCCGGCTGCCGCTGCTCAGCCTTCGCTCGGAGAGGCTGCTGCCCGCCGTGCTGTCGATGCCTGGGATGAGGTGTCTATCGATCGATCAAAGACGAAAGTTGCAATACATGCAGCCAACGAATATGTAATAGTTAAGCCACCGGTTTCCGAATCATCAAGAGCTTCGTCCTGCAAGTTTTGCTCGCAATGTATGTGTGTGAAGATGAGGTTTAATTATAGGTAGCAGTTTCAGCATAGGCTCTGGCCTCTGTGAAGAGCGACTCACTCTCAGCATCCTCGCTGCCCTCATCGTCCGACGAGTCGTCAAAGGACTTTGATCCTAGGATTCGGGGGTTCGTCATAGGTACTCATGATGTATTATTTTGCCAAAAGGCTTAAAAGGCCAAAGGTCTCGAACAATACTCTGCCTCAATGTAGCCTTGCTTCGAGGATTCGGGGGGAGAGGGATTCCAGCAGCATGGAACAGCTTCTGGACCGTTCGCTCCCGGGGGTAATGCCCCCTTTTGGCGCTTCTCGAAAAGATTGAGATCAAACGACGTAGGACCCAAGCCTGGGCGTGGATCACATCTCCTCGGATGAATCTCGCTGGATGAGTGTGAACATATGGAGCTTTAAAGTTGCAACAATAACATTCAGTCGAGTTTCGCTTCACAGGCTGCTTGCCGAGGGGTCGTCCAACATGGAAAAAGTGGGCAACTTCGGAACGGATGGCATGTATGGATGGCCGAAGACCATGGTACTTGATGATCGGTGCCAATATTTCGCCGTTCAGCACGACGTCTGTGCGGGATAGAAATTCCCTCGGGGTTATACACAAAGTCCTAACACTGGCCCGATTCAATATGACATGGTTGTTCATCCAGCTGCGGACAACCGGACTATCCATTGCCAGCAGCTCCGAAGCTAAGCCACACCGACCCCAGGATCCCAAGCGATATCTTGAATTCGACCAAAGCACTGAAGCACTTAAGTTAGTGGAACCCACACCGATGGACCCCAGCAAACTAGCTAGGATCCCAAGCGATAGCTTCGACCAAAGCACTGAAGCACTTAAGTAAGTGGAACCCGCACCGATGGACCCCAGCAAAATGCTGTAGGCTGTAGCTCGAACATACAGCAGCAATCAGAGAGACAATGCGAGAATCGATCATGCAAGCACAATAGCCTTTGCAACAAAGCAGTGCAGGGGCACCCCTCGGCGATGCCCAATCCCCAATCCACCGCATCAGCTCGCCATACCTCTCGGCACAGGCAGCTACATCGGGAATTATGTGGTCCAGATTCTGCGTGGCCACACATACATCCTGCACACTCCTAGCCTCAAGCCCTAAAGTCTCTGAAGCTCGCAAGACTCGACCCATTGTGTAAGAGGGCGCACAGACTTCACGAAGTAACCGGCCATCGACCATCAAGGGGCAGTTGTCCAAGCTTATCCACTATGCAAGTATGTTTCGCTTGGTGCACCAGGCAGGGTTCCGGAATCTCAGACCAAAGAGATTTTCGAATAATTATTATCGATATGATCTGTATACATATATAATACACTCTATATATGTTCTCGGTTAGCTGAGCTGTATATATCCCAAAGCTCAGAAATACACCAGTAATATATTAAGCATGTAGTGAAGTCTACAGGATCACGGCTTTATCCTATAGTTATTTGCCCACGACTCTCGAGCAAAAGCTCGCCGACGATCACAGAGCTGTTCCTGGAGCTTTGGCAGGCAACAACTTCTCATATGATACAGGAATCTGCTCGATCAGGATGATTTACGTCTCGATTGCACTTATAAATCAAAAAGCGCACGTTTACACAGAAAAGCGCTCGAGCTGAACAAGAAGAGTATCAATTAGAGATTTAAGGCACGATGTGTCGATTTACAGCACGTTCAGCCTTGGGCTGCAAATACCTGGCACGAAAGAGGCTCCAGGTTGAGAAAAGCTTTGCTGCGCATGGACCTTTTGCGCTGGGTGACTGCTTGCAGTCGACTGCGGGCCCTCATGTTGAAATCGCTTGTTTACCCGTGTTTGGTGTGGGCCGCTGCCTACGCTACGCCACTGGCAGGCGAGATGAAACAAGTTAGAGATGCTGCGATTCGGGTATTTGACTGTCAATTTTCCTTCGAAGCCCCGCGCGTCCTGATCTTCGAACATGTGGGGTGGATGCTGGAGCCGCAGTGTGCTGCTGACTCTGCTGTGCTCCGCGAGGCCTGGCGCCTTCTCTGCAAGCCTCCGGCTTTTGCCCTGGAGCAGCCGCGTGACGTCCGGGGCCAGCGCTGGGATCAGCTGTTGCCTGCTGCGCCTGACCTTCTGCGCAGATTGGGGTGGAGCGTCGTTGAACGCCCTGACGGCTTCTTTTTCGCCTGCCGCGATGACTTGGGAATCTCTCGTGAGGTGCAGGTCGGATGGGAGAGCTTTGCTGAGGTAAAGGGCTGGCTGTTTGACCATTACCGGCATATTTACATGCAGAGATGCCAGCGTGTCTGGCGTAGCTTTCATAGGCCGGACCCGAGCCTTGCACGAGGCCTGGATCTTGAGCCTCCTTTGCGGGATGTGCGCTTCAGCTTTCGTGGGCACCGTGTTGCCATGCATGAGGCGACCACTCCTTATATGCGACGGGCCGCTGCTGTCACGGGAGGCTCGTGCTGGTTCTTTACGGCCGGGCAGGGGTTGAACGAGCAGCACCGGCGCATGCATTGCCTCTGCGGCGCTACTGCTCCGTCGCGACCACATGTGACCTGGGTTTGCGAGTGCACCGAGGCGCTCCGACGGGACCATCCCCCGCCGACGACGCGAGCGGAGGAGCGCATGTTTGCAAAGTCGACTCCCTTGAAGCCTCCGGCGCCTACCTCCTCTCACTGTGGAGCTTTTCGGGCGGACTTAGATACTGCTTTCCGTGCTGCGCTCGGCTCGGGCCGGAGCAGGATTTATGTGGCTACTGATGGCTCCAGCCATCGATCTGTCGGAGCTTTTGCCGTGGTGATTGGTGATCCGTCTTGTGCCTATGCCATGGGTACTGGGGCAGAGGACCAATCCCCGTATCGGCAAGAAGTGCTGGCCCTCCATGCGGCATTTGAGTCGATCCACCGGGTGTGGAGTGAGGGCTGCGAGAAGTGCATCTTTCTCTTGACTGACTGCAAAGCTGCCCTGACGGCCATCTCGGGCCATGGTGATGATCCCTTTAAGTTGGGTCTCTTGCTGAGGGACGCGCGCCGTCTCTGGAAGGAGCTGGAGAGGCGCGGCTGTGCTATCTCCTTGATTTGGGTGCCGTCACATAATAAGCACCCCCGCTGGAGACCCTCGCCGGATCATGATGCGGATGTGCTCCGCGCCTTTAACCATGCTGCAGATCAGGCGGCGGGCAACTGCATGCAAAACAGACTCTCGGGCTCTCTCAGGGAGCGATGGCATCAGCAGTGTGATCAGGCTCGGGATTGGGAGCTGACTACCATCCGGCTTGCGGCAGCTGCTGCCGAGAAGCTGGACAAACATGTGAAGAGCGTTCCTCTTGATGATGCTGAGCCCGAAGGGGCTAGGCCCTGACAAACTTTCGCTGCACCAGAATAATCTTGGACACCACACCTTGGGCCTCTCAATTCTTTGATTGCCCTTGGCATGTCCTTCGTGTGTGTGCCGCTTGCATTCTTTATGTGTGGGCGGAACGAACAATCACTTCCTGCCTGCTCCTCTTCGGGTTTGTTTGGGTTTAGGCCCCATCTTTTCCCTAGTGGTTCCCGTGTGCACCTGGCGTCAACTCCTCTATGCATGAGCGCGGCCTCGCTTTGTTGCGTGGTGCTGCTGCTATTGTGTGGAGCTTGCTTTCCCAGGTTTCCGTGGCTCCGCGATGCCTTTGCCCCCCTTAGGGTTTCTTTGGGTTTAGGCCCTTCTCCCCTAGGGGTCCCTGTGTGCACCTCGCGTGAGCTCAGGCCTTCTGCTGAGCGCGGCTATGCTTCCTTGCGTGGCGCTGCTGCAGCCGGCGGGAGTCCCTAATATTGAGACGTTTCTTGTAACAAAATTTTGCTCGACCTTGCTACGGCCCATCCGCTTCTACCGGGTGCGAGCCTCGAACCACTCCGAGCGCTGCAGCTTGGCTCGTGCTTGGCACTGCTGCTGCTGGTGCGGGTTCGCTTCTTTAGGCTGGCCCTCTCCTTTCGGGTTTTCGGGTTTAGGCCCTTCCCTCCCCTTAGGAGCCCCTGTGGGCAATCGAGGTGCGCTTTGGCCTCTCGCTGAGTGCGTTTACGCTCTACTAGAGCTGCTGCTGCTTGCCAGGGTTGTCTACGCATCTAGCACCTTTCGTGTGCGCGTGATGCCTCACGCTTCTTGACATTTCACGTGGCATCCTCTCTCGATGGCCCTTGTTCCTTTTGGGTTGTTCGGGTTTAGTTCCTTCCCTCCCCTAGGGGTACCTGTGTGCAATGGGCGTGCGCTCGGCGCAACTGAGTGCGGCACTGCTCTGCCTCTCTGGTCTGGCGCTGCTGCTGCTGGTTGGGCTGCTGGCTCACCCTTCTTCCTCTTCGGCGTCTACTACAAGGGCGGCTGCTGTGGGCTGCGGAAGCGAGGTCCTCTGAGCTCCACTGACGGTGCCTTCTGAAGTGACGTGAGAGTCTCCCGCGAGCTTGTTTTCCTTCAATTAGTGTCGTTTGAGTAGTACTCGGATTTGTAGCTCTGCTGCTCCGGGCTTTTGACCTGACTCGTAGCTTTGCTGCTCAGGTCATGTCGTTTCGAGCTTTATTCCGAACTGTAGCTTGCTGCTCGGAATGTTTCCGGATGTGATTGCGTAGCTAATCTGATACATCGAATTCGTTGCTTTTCACAAGAGGAGGTACATGTCAGACGGACTGCGGCTACCTGACTTCCCTCCCATTCGACGTGTGGTGAAGGCTCTCTTAATGTTGCCTCGTCTTTTGTTAATAGTGTCGTTGAGAATCATCGCTCTGGACTTGTGCTGCACAGTTTCCGCACTCTCCTTGATGACTCAGCAGGTTACGGGATATTTCACCCGACCCGCGAGGACCTCGGACAGCAGCTGAGCGGTCTTCTCGAAGTCGCTCAGCCCCCAGATCGCCGGAAATTCTGGAGTTTTGTTTCCATCTTTACAACGTCTACATGCAGTGTTTCTCACGCATGTCGACGTTCTGAATGTTTCAATGCACCGGCGGTTTTACAGATCAAGTGGCATTGTGTCATTGGGAAAAATTTTTTGTCCCGCCCACCCACTCCTATAGGGGGTCAATCGGGTGCTTAGTACATAGCGGCATCTCTTTACCGCAAGCCGCTAGTGGGGAAACTCATCCACGCGTGTTATGTGCTGACACGTCGTGCGCACAAATTTTTCTACGAACAGCCCTTTTCGAGTGCTCGGACAAAAGAAGACCACGTCAGAAGTGCGCTAAATATATTCGGGAGCAATTTTTATAATCGGCTCCAATACTTATTATATTCTTAGGCATTTTACATATTGAGCCCGGATACCGCTTTCTAGACTTTTGTGCAATATACGGTTCTGGAGTTTTCTGGAAAGAGAGAGAGAGCTGTGAGGCTTAAAAGGCTGCAGCAACCATGCACTGCAGGACTGCACTGAGCAACAAAGCTGACACAGCTGAAGCAGCTCTGCTGGCAAAGCTGCCACTGTAGCAGGTGAGAACTACAACTGCGGCGTATAACGCTTTTACAGACCTGCTAGGCACAAAAAAAAATGCGCGCAACATGCGGTTCATTTTTCCCTCGCGGCGCGAGTCTCTGGGCGATGCCCGTCTGTGTCGGTACGCTGCACCCGCCTTCTGCGATCCGCAGATAGGCCGGTGAGCCACAAAAGGGCTGTATGGCCGGACTGTGCCGGCACTACTGTGCTTTGCACCTTGGCATACAAGGGCGCAGAGAGGGGCCGGCCCCTCAAAATTGTCTCCGGGCGCTGTCCGGACAGTGGCAGCTGGAACTCACCACTGGTGGGTTCACCAGTCGCGGTGATTCCAGCGCGGGTCGTCGCGCCACGACCAGCTGCTACGGTACCACTGGTCCCGGTCGTCATCATCATGGCGAGGCCACTGGCCTTTGCCTGCTCGGCGGCGGCGCTCCTCCTCTCTTTCGCGCCGCTGGCGCTCCCGAGCCTCTTCCGCCTCGCGCTCCAAGGCCAAACGGACCGACTCTGGCGATCCTCTCGTCGGGCGGCGCTCGCCGGTGTACTCCAGCAGGCCGTCGGTGCGCGACAGCCTGCCTGGGCAGGGGACCCAATTTTTTTTGACCCTTTTATTTTTATTTTTTTGGCCCCTTTTTTTTTGTTTGCCCTTCCGTGGGAAGGAAGGAAGGAAGGAGAAAACAAACAAGGAAGGAAGCAAGAAAGGAAGGATGGAAGAAAAAAGGAACGTAATCGTATATACACTGATACCTGCGCAACACTGGACCTCATTGATGGCATTGCAGGTCACCCATGCCCGATCAAAGCTATGAGTCAACGATGCAGCACGCGCGCAGGATTGCAACTCGGCACCACCTTCCACAGGCATGGAGGCATCGATGCGTAGCAAGAAGCAAAACCCAGAGAGAACCCTAAACCCTAAACCAGGGGCATTTTCTCATGTGGGAAATGTTGGTTTTTCCCGGGAAACACCTAGAAAACGAACCAAAAACAAAGCAATGAGTTAATCTCATGAAAAAATATAAGAAATTATGTTTTTCCGTGGAAAACCAAGTAAACGAATCAAAACGAAAGAATTCATAGGAACTCCTTCAAAAAGTGGTATTAATCTTACGAAGCTATACAATGTTGGTTTTCCAGGAAAAACGAAGACAACGAACCAAAGAACAACAATGAACACCAAATAGAGAGAAATAAGATAAATGCTCCCAAAACAACTTCACTCGTTTGTTTTCCTGCGTAAACGTAGAAGTAAACATAATCAAATACAGGTCTATGGATGTAGATGTGGACATATCGAGAAAATCCTGGTTTTCCACCCTTAAAACTAGATACAAGATTGGTTTTTATACTAGGGAAATATAAACAAACTAGAAGTTTTCCTATGGGAACGTAAAAGTGACACAAAAGTGACACAAAAGTGACACTAAACTGACACTAAAGTGACACTAAACTGACACTAAACTGACACTAAACTAACAGTTCAAAGGCAAAACTAACACAAAAGTAACACAACCGATATGTACTATTGTTAGTTTGGTAAAACTAACCCATGGAATTGTTACTTTAGTGTTACTTTTGCTGTGGGAGTGTTACTTTAGTGTCACTTTAGTGTCACTTTAGTGTCACTTTTGTGTCACTGTGTCACTTTTGTGTCACTTTTGTGTCACTTTTGTGTGAGTTTGCTATCCCTGGAGCTTTTTCTGTGCTGTTTTCTTCCTGCTGCCCTTGATTCGTCTGGTTTCCGGCCTGTGATTTCAGGTGTTTCGAAACCGATCCGAGGACTTTCGCCTGGAAAAGAGAACTGTGCATCAGAGTTTTCCAATAATCTGGAATATCGTGCTCAAAACCATAACTAGGTGAAATCTTGCTTCGGCTTTCGAGCTATGGTGCTGAATACAAAACTAGGTAACATGCTCCTGTCAACATAGGCAGCTTGCTGCTGGCCCGACAAGAGGCAACATGGTCTCTAATGTTTCTAAGCAACAGTGCACGAGGAAACTTAGTCTTAAGTAACAGTGTGCAGGCAAACCTAGGTAACATGTTACTTAGAGAGCTGTGTATGTAACATGTACTGCTGTTGTCTAGTTCCACCCGTTGTGGTCGTTGACAAATCTGCACCCCGATCCGTGCTCGAATTCAAAAAGGCTAGTGGTGATTGGGAGTATGAAGTCCCGGGCACATGTCGTGACATGCTAAAACACCAGATTTTCATGCATGATGAGAAGAAGACTTTCCGAGAAGACTGATCCAGCCATGGCTGTTAAGGGTAGTGGTTCCCTGAAGAGAAAGGGAGCTCAGCTTGACCTCGACGGCGAACCGTTGACGGAAGCAGAGGCCGCCCCAGAACAGGAGCAGGAGGCACAGGAGAAGGAGGAGCAGAAGAGCCCCAAGCCAAAGAGCCCAGCCAAGCCCAAGAGCAAGAGCAAGCCGAGCAAGCCGCAGACCTCCCCCAAAGCAAAGGCGAAGGCAAAGGCCAAAGCAAAAGCAAAAGCCGAGAGCAAGCCCCCAGCAAAAACACCCAAGGCCAAGAGCACAGCCAAAGCTACCCCCCAGCCGAAGGCCAAGAAAACTAAGCCGGGGAAGCAGCTCAAGGAGGGGGACAACAACAACAAGAACGTGACCAGACAGGAAAGCTTCGCTGACAAGGCTTTGCAGTGGAAGCTTGCAGCCGAGGACAAAGCCGAGGCCCAGGAGAAGCCTAAGGAGGAGCCCGAGGCAGAGGAGCAGGACGGCGACGAGGAGGACGACCAGGGCGGCGAAAAGAGGGACCTCGCCAAGGCCAGGAAATTCAAGAGAATGTCCGATGCCGGTGCAATCCCGGATCACATTCAGGAGGTTCTGAGCAAAGCGAAGACCCGTGCTGCCAAGACGGAGCTGATCAACGAGCTGTTCGACAAGAACGACAAAGGCAAGCTGATCATGAAATCCGACAAGCCCGTGTTCGAGACCACGAAGCAGGCCAAGCATCAGAAGTTTGGTCGAGATGAAACCATGGGGGCACCAAAGGATGTGCTTTTGCACCGGGACTACCATGGCGATGAAAAGGCTTTGGATGCTTCCATTGCAAGGGGCACGGTGATGGTGTGGCTGCAGGATGGGGTAGAGTTCGCGGGCTATCGGCAAACCGTTGCCGGGATTGGCAAGACGGTGGAGGACAAGCACCAAGCGAAGAGTGGTGCCAAGGAGATCACCGACGAGACCTTTCAGGCCCTCGACAAGGCCTTCCGAGCCATGACCTTTTCGTTTGATCAAGATGACCAGCCCCGCCAGGCTATCGCAGCAGAGGCAGCAAGCTCGAAGGAGCCCCCCGTCCTCAAGCAGTTCACGGAGTCCCAGCAAGCTTTGCTGGAGGAGGCCAAAGGAGCGATGGAGCGGCTTCATAGTGCTGCTATGAGGATGATTTCAAAATGCTCGCAAGCGAAGGACAAGGAGAGCTTCAAGCCGCACATGCTTGCTATGAAATCATGGATGGACAGGGACGACCACCTGTTGCTATGGAAAGAGTTCCCAGACTCAGAGCGGCCCCTCACCGCTGCAACCTTCAAGGACTACATGTGTGAGCATTCCGAAACGGCGGTTTCCTTGAACGAGGAGTGCGAGAAATTCAAAGCCCTTTTGAAAGCAAGGAAGGAGCTGTGATTCCATCCCGAGTCTTGCTCATCATGTGCATTTTGATATGAAGAGAAACGTGCTAAGTAACATACTCGGTACTAGGTTTCATTCCGGTTATCAATTGTTTTCTAGCAACTAAGTAACAATGTTGTTGTTCAGCATTGGCACCCTGGCCATGAAGACATGTTGTCGGCGAGACACGTAGCCATGTCTGTAGTTTTGCTTCTGTTGCAGCAAATCCTTTGCTATAGATGCCACGGTTTTCGGGTTCACTAAGATGTTAATAACATAGAGGGTTTCACATTGGAGGTTCGGGGTGCCCGTTTGTGGATGTTCTAGAGGGGTATGGTTTATGACAGTTTATGATACCATTTTGGGATCGAAGGGTTTGCTCTGTGGCCCTGCCAACCCTTGAGTGCCTATACAGCATGCCCGCAACCATAATTTGCATTATCCATGGTGCGGTAGAGGGACAACCTAATGGAAGCAGTGTCCAACATAATTAAGGATTCGCAATTATATCTTAGGGTTTGGGCGATTAGGCTCATGCCATGCCAAGGCCATTTCGTTGCTTCACATTAGCATGCTCGGAGCGTATGTTCGCATGTACCTAGGGTAATGGACTCAGTGTTTAAGATGTTTTCTCTGTTCACATATATCGGGCAGGGTAAAGGGACTTAGTGTTTAGGATCCTTTCTATATAGAGGCCTCTAAGGACTGACGAAATCGGCAAAGGCATGGGTCTACCAGGGAACATTCCCCAACTAAGACAGAGTACGTTAACTATTATATATAAGATATACTAATCTCAACCGGCATGAGGTGCGACATCGAGGAGCTCGTGGCACTCTTACTCCGGGCTATCTCCGGATTGGAAGGTCATGGGTCACGGGTTAATTTGCCAGTGGCTTAGGGCGAGATTCAGGGAACCACTATTCCACGTTCAGCTCTAGCTTGTGCTCTGTTCCCCTAGAAATGTCTTGATCAGAATGCTTTCAAAACTAATAGTGCAGACGAGTCACTCCATCTGGTCCAAGAAAAAATTTCTTGAATCGATTTTCAGAATAATGATAAATCGTGTGTATCCTTAGCTGGTGTGGGGCACACGAGATCTGCCATGTGCCGCTTCAGTTGCAGGGAACGACTAGCAAGAACATTGCGGATTATTGCTTGACCGCGAGGCATCTCGTGAGGATAGAGCATATGCCATTTGCCCACATAGAATTCAGCCGTGGTCGGATTCTTGAGTGTGACCTCCACCCTTGGTTCGGATCAGATCATAAATGGGTCAGTAATTTCATTAGGGTTCGCCCGGGCATTCCTTTGGTTCCGGGGTTCAGACTTTGAGGGCTCGAGCTCCAGGGTGATCTATAGGGTTTAATGATCTTAACGAAAACTGGTGGCTTAGAGTTTTGGGTGCAGGGTCCGTAGAAATTTCGAGGTCGAATACCGGTTTAGGAATATAGCTTCGGTTAACATACAGCGCGACAAGACCGAATCTGAAGCCTCTTGCAAAGCACATCAATTAATGAACATGTTAAATTTTGCATATAACTCCAAACCATGCAATCCCTCAAATTAAACCTCCAGACCCAGCCACGGCGACTAATACCGCTGCTATAACAGCGGAATATTCTAACTGCCCTCGGAATATATATATATATATATATATATATATATATATATACATGCAGGTCGACATGTCGACTGTATATATATAAATATATATATATATATAATTTTATACTAGATATATATTCTTCCATGAAACCGGGATTCTCCCTGGGCTCCGGAAGGCCTTTCCGCCAGGGTTGCCGCTGCACCCAGCGCTGGAAATTGCGATATACATTCCTATCATCTTCATACGAAGCAAGATCGACGAGATTGCGCCTCGGCCAGGACGCACTAAAGATTCGCCTCAAACTAAAATCTGGACTTCCCACCGAGCAAACCAGCACACACACACACACACATCTTTGCGTTCCGGTCACGGGAGCATCAAATGAGGAATGCGACCGGCTATTTTGTCGCATACTTGCTTTATCTTCCGCGTCGTCAAATGCTCGGACAGCTCCAACAATTCTTCCACCAAGTCCATGATGACGAGGGGGTTCGGGGTCTATAGGATTTTAGAACTAAGGCTTATCCTCCTATGCATGCAGTTCTTCATGCTATTGCATTCAGGGTTCGGGCTAGATATAGATATATGTATATATATATATACTATAGACGATTTAAGGGCTTAAGCTCTCAGGGTCTGTCTATAGGGGTACACGTGGGCTTCCGGGTGTTGGGTCTGGTGCTTTATTGTGAGATATTCCCATGTCATCAGATAGGGAAAGTTAGACATGTTAGACGGGAGTGATACGGATCCATGTTCACCAGGCTGCGGGGATTTGGCTGTGATTTTCGCTCTACCTGTCTAACAGACTCTGGCACTTCAGCTGTACAGGAACGACTTCTGTAGTGCGAGGTTTGATAAGCCTAGTTTCATGAATGTTCCTATATACATAAATATATATATATATATGTAGCGGTGGGGACTCTAAGCTTGCGAACTATCGTACGCCAGATTGAAGTTGCACATGCATATGGCCAGCTGTCCATGATAGCTTGTATATTTGGTCCACGGGAATTTATTTGGATCCCTGCTCCTGAAAAGCTGCATGCGGGAAGCTCTGTGCTAAGACATGCAGGCATACTCATCCCAACAGACATCCAGCAGTCTGTAACATGCCCTAATCCGCAAAGGTCATTTCACCACGACTGCGATCCTCGGTGAAGCGCTTCACCGGTGCTGGAGACATGGCGGCCAGGGGCATGATTGAAGCCTATATTCCAGCCTATAGGGCAACCTTATAATTAAGGTTATCGTTAACGTAATGCTATAGACCAGATCGAGCTAGCTAGCCTGGGATGGCATGCCAACAGCCACGATTGCAGAGTTATTCGCATAACAACACCCAGACTGCTCAGTCAGAAGCCTATGGATAGGTTCCACAGGCCCCGGGGATATGCCGACCAGGAGTTAGTATTTGAGTTAGGCCGATAGCCTATAGAAGATCATGCACCCTACCCAGACCTTCCAAAATCCCTTAATTAAGGAATATCCTTTAATTATAGTAGGATCCTTAATTAAGATTTAAGGTATATTCCTTAATTAAGGCATTTTGGAAGGTCTGGGCTATACGATCGAGCTTCAAACTCCTGGATAGCAACCCAACAGCCATGACTGCAGAGTCCGTGCAGTGTCCTCAAAACACCGGCCCAGACATCTGATCGGCTTGTAGCTATAATATTTTTATATTTAAGTCACCTATTAAATACAAATATAAGACCGAATAACATCATTGGCATATCCTACCCCTCCAAACCTTGCACGCCTCAGCAATCCGATCAGACTTGAGCTTATTGAGTGCATATTGCATGCATGCAGACACGAGGCCGAGGATCAAACCTCGAGCCGCCCGATTCCCTTATTGCTAGCAGCTCTTCATAGCCGGTCTGTTCCACTAGGAATATGGTAAGCGTCCACATGCACACATCCAATTAGCTCGTGCAACTTCCTCTCAACTAATTAACTTTTGTGGTGCAAAAAGCACAGTGCACTTGCGGCGCAAGATATCGAAGTTCTGATCCTGCGCTAAAACACTAGGGTTTAATGCACAATATATGGCGATAGGGGTTAGCATATTAGGGCATGAGGCTTAATTTAAAATTAGGGTGCAAGGGGTTTGGGCGAAAACCAAAACTGCATTGGAGCACACGTGATGCGCCTAAGGTACTGCAGACATGATACCGGCCAGCCATCGATCCAGATCGAAAGGTGATCGAGCTGCATCCGTGGGCCATACCTTAGATCGAATAGACGATATATACACATATATATATATATACAGAGAGAGAGAGAGAGAGAGAGAGAGAGAGAGAGAGAGAGAGAGAGAGAGAGAGAGAGAGAGAGAGAGAGAGAGAGAGAGAGAGAGAGAGAGAGAGAGAGAAAGAGAGAGAGAGAGAAGAGAGAGAGAGAGAAGAAGAGAGAGAGAGAGAGAGAGAAAGAGAGAGAGAGAGAGAGAGAAGAGAGAGAGAGAAGAAGAGAGAGATCGACAATGACTCTGTGTGTGTGTACACAGGCAGTACATATCTGTATCTATATCTATAATATATATATATATACATAACCGAGTTATGCAGTTCTGCATATTAGGATGCTAAGCAGCGGCGTGATACCGTGGGGATTGTCGCTCAATTCCGGCTTATATTGTTGCACATATATATATATATATATATATATATATAAAATCGAGGAGTTGAACTTGGGAGTGTGGGGCTTTTGATTTAGCTAGATCGTTGTCGGAGGGTGTCAGTCCACTGTATCGAGCAATGCGGTCTAACTTCACATCGGGTCAATGGTGGTTACTCTCTACATGCCTGCACTCCTGCATTGGGCCCCTGTAACCCTATATAACACTCGGCTCTCTTATCCCAGACCTTCCAAAAGCCCTTAATTAAGGAATACACTTTAATTTGAACCCAAATATATTCCTTAATTAAGGGATTTTGGAAGGTCTGGGTATAGCACTATGAAACAGTACACTAGCTATGCTCAGGGACTATGGCTCGGAGTTTCCTTGGACTACTAGACGAGCTGCAGCTGAGGAAACGAGGGTACGTACCCAGTTGGGGGAGCCGACAATCTCTGGATTATCAAAAGGTGGGCCGACAATTGGCTGCAATGCTCAGAAAGCTTTTGTGGTCGTTCGTAGAGCCTTAACCCTATAGACCCTAAACCCAAGAACAAAACACAACAAGCAGTACAGGGTTGAGGGGCTCCGGGTGCCAGGGCATAGGGTTTGGGACTGCGTTTAAGGGTTCATAGGTGCAAGGTGCAGCACGGAGGGAATGCAAGACTTGAAGCACCGGGTATATATTCAGTCTTCATTTGACAACCCGGTAAGTCCAGATGATCTGTAGACCCCCTAACCCCACAGGTTAATGAATCCCAAATTAGCTTACCCAGAAGTCCGCGC